ACGCGCTCTCGTAAGGAAAATTCCTTTTCCTTACTTCGCGTCCCTGCTTAGCGCGTACACCACTGTTCCCGCCAACAGCACCCCACAATATTCCGTTACCACTCGCGACATTCGCCTCGACACCATTCCCACCACTGTTCACGATGCGACCCAACCTCACGGTTCGGTTGGTAACCCGCGCTCCGGACCTCCAGCTCGACAGTCCCCAACCTCGGCACCAGGCCCGTCGCGCACCCTAAATCCCCACGTTACCGTTACCACCATAGCTTTGCTATATATTCTTCGCTCAATCCTTCGCTCATTGTATTCTTGCCTCGATAGTGCAATCCTCGCTCGCTCACTCAATATGAAAATTTTTGAAAGTGTGTAACACTTTCTAAAAATGCGTATTGTGAAAGCGCAGCTGTCTGTATCGCAGCAAGGCAACGGCGAATTACAATTCGCCGAGTACATAACGAGGGTTGGAGGCCATTTGGCCTCCACCCACGTCTTCATTTGGAACTTGCAGTTCCACTCCCCACCCACCCACCCTAGTCGTATACGCAACTTGTATAGTCTATTTGGACGAGAATGTTGTAATTACTGCAATTGTAATGAAGCACGAGGCCTTTGCAAGAACAGAAAGCAAGCTTTCTCAATTGCACTCGTAACAAAGTTAGTGCAGGAAGTGCGCGGAGCGCATTCTCTCCATAGAACTTGTCAAGTAAGCGTGTCGCGGGCTCGCTACCCGCCACGCAAAGCTGCCGTTGTTGGTCACTTAGGGCGTGGAACATTTGGGTTTTTTGTCCGAACGAACAACGTACGGCTCGGAAAAATAACGCTCTGAAATGTATTGAAACCACCAAAGCATTTAACAAATGGACCATTTTCAACCGTTCAGGCGGTACGATTCCTTCGGAAAATTTCCCAAATGTTCCACGCCCTTACCAAATTCCAAACCAAACCTGACACCCTAACCAAACCAATTGAAGGACCAAAACCTAACACTACATACAGCGGCTCTGGTTTGGTTTGGTTTGGGAGTCTTGAAAGTTATGCACAGCGTTTGTTGTTATGAACATTGAGGGGCGCCTGCCCTCCCTACAGTGTAATCCTTTTCCTGTCCCAGATCTTCGACAACTTCTTTGTTACCTTAAAAAAAGGTCATTTTGCCGTCCTGTCATTGCTGGAGATCATCTGGTCTGGACAGCAGAGAATCATCACCAGCATACACTACTGGCCACACACTGACCTCATTCCTTGCACGTGCCGGCAAATCGCGCCTACCCCCACCCCCTCCCCCCTTGGGGGACTATGTTCCTCCCTGGGGGGCCGATGTTCCCCCCGAGGGCCGATGTTCCCTCCGGGGGGAGCGATGTCCCCCCCATCTACCCCCCAAGTGCCCCCCTCCGGCCCATAGTGCTCCAGGATGGCTTTTACTGGAATATCCACTGGGATATGGACTAGTATTTAGTATGCGCTTTCCGCCGTCGTCGCGCGCGCCCACCACTCCCCCTCCCCCCCCCCCCCCCCCTCTTCCCCCCCCTCTCTCCCCCTCCATTCCCCCCTACCCCTTCAAGCTCCTGTCGTTTGGAGTTGATTTGGCCTCCGACTAGTGGGCTCTCGAGGCGAGACAAGAGCGAGCTCATCGTCTCGCCTCCCCTCGCCTCGTCTTATCACATTCCCGACGCGGAGTCACCAGCGCCCACGGATGGGACCCTAAACCGTACATAACTAATAAGGAGAGTAGTCTACCCACCTGTGCGGTTTGTGCCTCCCTCATCTCGCCTTACCTCGCCTCGGCGCCTCGCGTCGCCTCGTCTCGACTCATCCCGTCTCCTACGCTTCAAGTCAGTGTCATACCCTCGACGGCGATGGCCATAATGCGAAGAGTTATGTCCCAACCTAGTATGGCCGATGCGACGGCGATTAAAAGCATTGTCAATCTTCGAGAACCCAAGGCGAGTGGCATGGCCGACCCCTTGATTCGACTGCCAGTGGTTGACGCAATCATTGCGTTGCCGAACCGAGCGGCATATGCCGCCTCACGCCATTGTCGTTGTCGGAGTTCCCAAGGCGAGCGCCATGGCCGAACCTGTCACCTGGTTTAGGGTAGGCGGCGAACCCAAGGCCGATCATCCCATGATATTCGAACCGGCGATTGACGTTAGAATGGCCAACTCATTGGCTGGGAGAATTGCCGAACCTATGGTCGACCCTATGGCCGAACCTATGGCCGACCGTCACCACCTCATCCCAAAGGCCACCTCGTGGGCCGTCTCCCCGCCGCCGTCTTTTGAGGCGCCTCAAACGTCGTGGGCCATCTCCCCGCCGTCGCAACATACCTTCCCCGCGAGACCCCTAAAAGGCCATGAGAGGGCGCCCTTGCTGCCGCCAGTGGCACTGCCGGCGCTCGCCACCTGTTCCATGAGTGTTGGCTCGTGTGTGGGTGAGTCACCACTGCACTGCCTGCGCGTATCCTTACCCTCTAGAAAGTAGTCTTCAAGCACGGGACTGCTGCTAACCCTCGCCACCTGTTCCATGAGCGCTGGCTTGTGTGTGGGTGAGTCACTGCTCTGCTCTGCACTGCACACGCCCCTTGTTTGCTGTACCCTCTAGCGAGTAGGCTTCACGCACGGCATGGAACTGCTAAGCCTTGCCACCTGTTCCATGAGTCCTGGCTCATGTGTGGGTGAGTCACTGCATTGCACCCGCCCCCTATTCACCTTTACCCTCTAAATGTGTGGGTGAGTCACTGCATTGCACCCGCCCCCTATTCGCCTTTACCCTCTAAATGTGTGGGTGAGTCACTGCATTGCACCCGCCCCCGATTCGCCTTTACCCTCTAAATGTGTGGGTGAGTGTGTGGCTGAGTCACCGCACTCGCACCCCGCTTGCCGTACCCCCCACTTGTTCGCCTACCTTCTTATCGGCTGCCGCCTAAACACTTGCCTTCTCGCTATTTCCCATCCTCACCCGTCCCGTGTCCCTTGTTCTTCCATTGCCCCTTGTTCTTCTCTCCCTGCCTCTTATCGCCAACAGCTCAACTCTTCACCAGCATTCAGGAACGAGCACCCTACCACTGATGGTAATTTTTCCCCTTTTCCTTTTCCATACTGCAAGACTCTGATGGCTCTTCTCTTCTCTTTTTCCTTTCCCTCATGTGTATGCATGCAGTGGTGGTGTCAAGCATTGTTGGGTTCATGTCTCACGTGGTGCTGCTGTCCCAGATTCTCGTCTACAGCGATCCAGCAGCCAAGGAAAGCGTGTCTGCACCTTCGACTTGCCAGTTGACAAGCACACCAAGCGAGTCAACGCCCTTGACTTGCCAGACAAGCACAGAAAGCAACTCATCGCCCTTGGCTTGCCCTCTAGCAGACAAAGAAAGCAAGCCAGTGTCTTTACCTTGTCAGTCAACAGCCTTAACAGTCGAGCTCACAGGCAGAACCATCGAGCACACAGCCATCACAATTGACGCGACACATATTGCAGTTGAGCCAACAGCTGTTGCGGTCGAGACAAGATTTGTCCCGAGCGAGCCAATAGACGTGGCAAGCAAGGCAAGCTACCCAACAGCAGATGCCCGCCTTCTCTCAAGCTGACGATGAGGTGGGCCCTCCGTCCTGCAACCCATCACAATCGAGGCGACGAGCATTGCAGTCGAGCCAGCAGCCGTTGCGACCGAGGCACGAGGTGTCCCGAGCGAGCCAATAGGCGCGGCAAGCAACCCAACGCCAGATGTTTGCCTTCTCTCAAGCTGACAAGGCAAGGTGGGCCGTCCTGCGACCCTGCACCTTCAACAGGCAGTGCAGTCGAGTCAACATCCGTTACGGTCGAGACAAGAGTTGTCCCGAGCGAGCCAATAGCCGCGGCAAGCAATCCAACAGCAGATGTATGCCTTCTATCGAGCTGACAACACCAGGTGGGTTCTCCTGCAACCCGGCACCTTCACTGTATGCACTCCACTAATGTCCTTCAGCGTTACCAGTGAATTTCTTGTCGAGTATCCCTCATCAGCAGCAGCCTACACTTTCCAATTGAGTTGTTACTTATATATGGCTTGTGTGCTTTCACCTTATATTTGTTATGTTTTTTTTGCTTGCAGGCTGTTGGAAACATATAGTTCGCGCTTCTGATGTGTCGAGCACTACAACAAAAGCGAAGCGAACTGAAGCGAAGCAACAGCGAGTCAACCAAAGCGGTTGACAGAAAGACAACAACAAGAGGTTGAGTGAAGGTCAAAGGTCAGCGACCTTGACTCGCCGAAAAGCAGCGCGACAGCAAGGACACATAACTCACTATTGAGCAATTACCCAAGTAGTCGCTGTATCGAACCGCAACATCAGTTACAGTTAGTGAAACCTTTCATATTCCTTTGTAATCATATAAAGCTTTGTATCTCTTTGCTATTATCAACTTATCTTGTTCTCACATACCAGGTTCAATTAATTCACTATTATGCTTCCGCTAATACATCACTACTCTGAGACTCTAGTCTTGAAAACGATCCTAAGTGTTTTTCTCAGCCCAACACAGGCGAATGATAAAATCATTTTGCAAACAAATCCAGTTTTGAATGACGGAAGGGATATTGTGCGTCTTTCAGTCAGGTCCTTTTGCCATTTGTGATTGGGCATGTTTTGCATTGCAGTTGCATTTATAGGATCCTCCAAGTTTTCTCCCTACTCCTAGTCTGGAAACTAGATTCCATGTTTGTGCCAACATGTCATTGTCCCTAACACTGACGCTTTATGTAGAGGACTGATGTTGGGGCAATAACGAGGATAAATAGTCAAAGTCAAAATCTATGATCCGTTTCCAACTTATATTGACATTCCCTGACAAGAATCCAACAAACGGGAAATGGAATCCTTGAGGCATCAAGCATCGCTTCCCGCCTGCTCCGCTGCGCAGGCTTCCGCTTCCCTTCCCCAAGCCACTCCGCGCGCGCGTCCTCCAGCGCTTCTCCGCGTTTCCCGAGTCGCTTCTCACCCTCCAGCGCGGATAATTGCTCGTGGGAGTCAGCAAAAGCTGCTCGCGCGTTTTCCGCTGCCTTCCCCTTCCCCCACCCTTTCCGCGCCGTCCAATCCGTTCCGCACTGCCCGCGCGCCACAAAGCAGGCGCGCGCCCTTAAGGGCAGCAGCAGCGCGGGCGGAAGCAGTAACCAACGGTGGAGATGCGGTGGGAGATGGCGCGTCGGTTGAACGGACGGCTGCGATCGGGAAAACAGCACCCAGGCGGCGAGACGCGAGCGGTGCGAGGAGAGGAATCTGGAGGAGAGAAGGGTGGCAGGGGCCTGGGGGGCAGGGGAGGCAGGGGGTGCAGGGGCCTGGGGGAGTTTCGGAGGCTTTGGGGAAGGCGGATGAGGGAAGGCGGAGGACTGCGGATGATGGTACAGAGGCAGGGATAAGGACGGGGACAGCGGATGCAGGGGGTGAAGGGGCAGCAGGGGAAACAGGGGGAACAGAAGCAGCAGGGGCAGGGACAGGGGCAGATGCAGGGACAAGAGCTGTTGCTTCTGCCGCTGACCAGGGAGATTGGAATCAGGAGCGCGCTTTCCTGGCAGCTTCGACCGACTCTCTCACTATTGACGCCAGAAGCTTCCGAGATGTTGCCGCCCACTGTGTCAGTTGCTGCTCCCCTTTACCGCCCTTGTTCCATTCCCTCACTCCCTCAACAGCCCCTGTCACTTCTCCTTCATTATTTCGTCCTCATAATCTCCCCCCCCCCCCATTATTTCCCCCTCGTTATTGTCCATCGCTATTTTTCCCTCATTCCCCCCTTGTTATTTCGACCGCCGTTGTTTTCCCCCGTCCATTATCTCTGGCAGGTGCAAGCAGTTCTGCTCACTCTCTCTCCCAACCGCCACAAACACCAGAAGCAGCACCAGCAGCAGGGGCAGCAGAAGCAGGGGCAACAGCAAGGGCAGCAGCAAGGGCAGAAGGGGCAGCAGCAAGAGGGGCGGTTGGATGTGAGGGCGCTTGCGTCCTGGCTAAGGAGCGATCACAGGCACTTCCACGCTGTGGTGAAGGTAGGTGGGTGGGTACTCTGAAGTGCCACCACAGGCACGGGAACTTTTTGCTGTGTCAACAAAAAAATCAGCTCACTTGGAACTGGCTTAGGAGCGACCACAGGCGCTTCCATGCCGTGGCGAAGGTGTGTGGTTGTGAGGAGGAGGGTATCAGGCAAGGGGGCAGATAGGGAAGCTTCTAGAGCCTCTCGACATGAGCTGGTTAAGGTGCGTGGGTGATTGGGCATATGCTGTGCTCTCCCTGTCATCTCTGCTGCCTTCCCTTCACAAATCCATCTTACTCCTTCGACGGTGATTTTTTTTTCTTATGCATCATCAATATCTCTGCTTCTCCTTCAAGTGTAATTGAACGATGTTTGATCACCTTTCCCTTTCAACCATCCTGCCCTGCTGCCTCCCTTCGTTTCCTGCCACTGTTACAGAGGCTAGGGGTGATCGGCCAGGGCGAAGCAGCGTGGAAGCTTCTCCAATGCTTGGAAAACGACACGTGGGAAGCGGAAGCAGTGGCGGCAGAAAAAGGAGCGGAAGGAGCAGCAGCCGATGCAGCAGCGAAGGCAAGAAGTGCTGGTGGTAGCAGCAACAGCAGCAGCAGCAGCAGCAGCAGCAGCAGCAGCAGCAGCAGCAGCAGCAGCAGCAGCAGCAGCAGCAGCAGCAGCAGCAGCAGCAGCAGCAGCAGCAGCAGCAGCAGCAGCAGCAGCAGCAGCAGTGGCATCAGTAGCAGAGGGGAGAGATAGAGGGGGAGTGTGGCCCATTACACTGATGTGCTGGTAGCCCTGGGGAAGTCAGATGGGAAAGGGAAGGGGAGGGGAGAGGGTCGAGGGAAGGGTAGGTCAGAGGGGAGAGGGGATGGGAGAAATGGAGGAAAGAGGAGGCCGGAGAGGCGGATGGATGGAATGAAAGGGAGTGGTGAGTTGTGGGATTTGCGGGGAGTGGAAGGTGCTTTGCTGCTGCTTAGATGGATGGAGGAGGAGGGGGAGGATGGGAAGGGGGCTGGTGGGATGGAGGAGGTACGTAGGCCTTCTGTTGTTCCTCCTGCTGTTTCCCCCCCTTCTGTTACTGCTCCCCCTGCTTCTCACCCATCTGCTGCTGCACCTGCTGCTGCTGCACCTGCTGCTGCTGCCGATGCTGTCCGTGCTGCTCCCACAGCTGCTGCCACCGCTGCTGCTCCTCCTGCTCTCCCTGCGCCGGACATCACAGCGTATAACGCAGTGCTGTTCGCCCTGTGTGAAGCCGGCAGGGTGCGAGAGGCAGAGGGATTGGTGCTGACACTTCGCGACAAGGGGAGAGTGTGGGAGGGATGGGAAGGAGCAGGGGGAGACATGGCACTGGATGTGCTTGGTGATAGTAAAGAGCAAGTAGATGCCTCAGGAGGAGCACAAGGAGGAGGGAGGGGTGTGAAACCGGATGTCTATTCATTCAGTGTGCTGCTGGGGGCGTATGCGAGGGAGGGTGATTGGAGGAGGGCGGAGGCGGCATGGGGTGACATGGAGGCTTGTGGTGTGGAGGGCAGTGACGTGGCTGCATGCAAGGTGACGTGGATAGATGCAAGATGACATGGATAGATGCAACGTGACGTGGATAGATGATGCAGTGTGACGTGGATAGATGCAATGTGACGTGGATAGATGCAATGTGACGTGGATAGATGCAATGTGACGTGGATAGATGCAATGTGACATGATGCACGGTAATGTTGATGAATGCAAGGTGACGTGGATGAGTGTGGAATGACGTGGATAGCCTCAAGAAAAGGTGCCAGGAGCACATGTGTAGATCTGTACACTTTTGTACAGTTTATCTTTATCAAATAATTCCTAGTTTCAACCTATTACTCCTGTTCTTTTCTCTCTATGCGTGTGAGCAGCTCATATTGGCCTACAGGAACGGAGGGCAGTGGAAGAAAGCTGTTGACTTTCTTGACTCGTTCGACTGACAGCTGGGCAGTAGCAACGACAGCAGCAGCAGCAGTCCAGGGGTGGTGAAGGGGAGACCAAATGCAAAATATCAGTGGGTGGATGATGCAGGAGATGAGGATGAAGATGAGAACGAGGGTGACAATGAGGAGGGTTGTGGTGACGCCGATGGTGTGAATGACGACAACGGTGCAACACGGCCATTTGCCGAGCCCACCATTCAAAAGGGGCGAAAGGGGTCGCTCAGCGGCAGTGCGTTGGAGTTTGCGAGTGTGACGGCCATGCGAGCAGCTGCAGCAGGCAGGGCGCCATGGGCCGTGGTGAAAGGGGTGTTCTGTGGCTTGTGCGACAAGATGGGGGCACACAATGTTTCGGTGAGTGGGAATGATGGTCCGGTCGAGGGAAGAGAAAGTGAACCTCCATGTCTACCGCAACCTTTCCCCCCTCCCTCCCCCATTCCCCCGCATCTTCCCTACTGTTCCCCTCGCCCCCATTGCTTCCTGCAGGTACGGGCGTTGAGCGAGTGTCTCCACGCGTGCCAGCTCGCGCTGTCACCTCCTCCCCTTCCCCATCACCCCCGCCCCTTCCGCTGTCAGAGCCACTACGGCCCCGTGAACCCAAAGTGTCCTTACCCCCCGCCTCAACCGCCCCATGCGTGCAGGTAAGGGCGTCCAACGAGGGTCTCGACGTGTGCCAGCTTGTGGTGCCTCCTCCTCCCCTCCCATTGCCACTACTGCTATTTGAGAGTTCTCAACAACCAGCTTACTCCAATGAAACCGCCTCTCCTTCTTCACCCCATGCCTGCAGGTAAGGGCGTTCAACAAGTATCTCCACGTGTGCCAGCTGGCGCTGCCACCATCTCTCCTCCCATCACTCCCTCATCTTTCCGTGCCATTGCCCCTACTGCCGCAATGACCCCCCCTGGTGGTACCTGCAGCTCCGGGCATTCAATGAGTATCTCCACGTGTGCCAGCTGGCGCTGATGCCCGCAGCCGCCCTCCCTGAGATGATTGCCGGGCTCCGGTGGATAGCACAGGCCGTCACTGTTGATGGTGGTGATAGTAACGGTGGCACTGTTCATGGTGGTGCGCTGCACATACTGCCGGACGCCGCCACCCTCAACACGCTGATGCTGGCAATGAGACGAGCCAACCGGGCGGCAGCAGGACTACTGCTGTATGACCTGCTGACAGGGAGGGAGGAGGAGGAGGGAAGCATAGAGAGGGAGGTGTTGGTGAGGGGGAAGGGGGATGGAAAGAGAGATGTGGAGTTGCTGAAAGGGGGTGATGGTGAGGGCAGCGAGGGGGGTGGAGGGGAGAGGGAGGGGAAGAGGAGTGGCGGGTTGACTGGTTTGACTTTGGGAGACTGGGCTGAATTCGGGCGAACAGGCCGGCTGCTGATGCTGGAGAGGCAGCTTCAAGGAATTGAAAAGAGGAAGGGAGAGAAAAGGGACACAGGGGACTGTCCGGGAGAGAAGGGAGCGAGGAAGGTTCAGAGGGCTTGGGAAGAGGAGGAGAGGGGAGTGAGAGAGCTGCTGGGGATGCTTGAAGCAGCTCGAGTAGTGACTCGTGAGTCAACCCGTAAGAATGAAGCAGCAGCAGCAGCGCAAGGCTACAAGGTGACTTTTGAGTCAACTCAAAAGTCACCTCGTGCAGTGACTCGTGAGTCAACTCGGAAGGTTAGAGCAGCAGCACGGCAAGGCTACAGAGGGGGGAGTGTTGATAGCGGCAGTGGTGGCAGCAGTGCCAGCAGTGTCAGGGGTAATTGTGCTTATAACGGGGATCTGCCAGAAGGCGTTGACTGGCAGAGAAGAGTGTGTGTCAAGCCGGACTGTGTGACTGTAACGGAGGTGATTCTAGCGAAGGTGGCGCTAGGCCAGGATGAAGGCGCGTTGGAGGTGTTTTGGGGAGCTGTGGGTGGAAGGGAAGGGGGGGGTGGGTGGGGGAGGAGGAAGGGGAAGCAGGGGCAAAATGGGAGAAATTGCCGTTCCACCCAAAGTGCCTTCTTGGTCGACTCAGTCAACTCGGTCAACTTGGTCAAGCAAGAGGGCAGTGAAGGCGGATGCACACATGTGCAGCGCTTCTCTGAGTGCGTGCAGGCGGAGAGGCCTGTGGTGGGAGGCTGATGCCGTGTGGGCACTCATGGAACGACGCGGGTGAGTGGGAAGGAAAGGGGTTGTGTGGGGAGGTGGGGGAGTGCAAAGGCCACAATCGGTCCAACTCTGACCCGGCATTGAAGGGAGAGAGAGCGCCTTTCAGCAGTAAGTTCTGATCCGTTCTTTTTCTGGACTTCAATTCAGCAATAGGTAGGTGGGAGGGAGGGGTAAGGGGCGGTGGGAGGGAGGGGTAAGGGGTGAGAGCTTACAGAGGCTTAGAGCATTGAATGCTATGTCACCCCTGCAGTTCCCTCCGCCCCTGCATTTCTCACGCCCCTCTTTTATGACCCTTTCTCCTTCCCCGCCCTTGCCTCTTCCCCCCCCCCCTCCCAGCATCCGCCCCACACCAGTGTGCCTGACAGGCATGGTGGCAATGATGGCACGAGCAACAGCAGACAGCCAATGGAACCCCTCTCATGCTCCCCCTCCCTTGCTTTCCCCCCAACCCCTCTCTCCCAGCATCCGCCCCACACCAGCGTGCCTGACAGGCATAGTGGCAGTGATGGCACGGGCGGGGAGGGGCGAGCGGGCACAGCAGGTGACAGAGCGAGCAGTGGCATCCGGCATTGTGCTGCAGCAGCAGACAGCCAACGCGCTGCTGGATGCTCTGGCGTCCACAGGGGATGTGCGACGCACTGCTGCCCTCTTCTCGCGCCTCTTCCTCCCCTCTGGAAACCCTCTCCTTCAAGATTCCCAGAAGAAGGGTCTGAAAACCTCCTTGCAGGCAGACACGTTCTCTTACAACGCGTTGCTGAAAGCACATGCCAGACGGCTGCAGCAGTCGGCGGGAGCAGTGGGATCTGTGCAGTTGATGCAGTCAGTGCAGTCTATGGTGATGCTGGGAGGACCAGCAGGCAATGTAAACAGCAAGGGTGGCAAGAAGGATGGAGGCAGGGCCAACAGCAGTAGTGGCAGCAGAGAAAATACCAGCAGCCGCAGCAGCAGCAGCAGAAATGGCAGTACCAGCACCAGCAGTGGCAACAGCAGCAGTGAAACCGGCAGCGCCACCCCTCCATATAGCAAGGCAAAGAAGGCAGGCTCACTTGGGGGAGGTGTGGTGCTCACCCTCTATCCCCTGCGCAGGCCCAGCCCCCGAACCTCCAGCCAAGGTTCGGGTACGGAATCTGGTTCGAAAATTAGCCCTCCTCGTCTGGACCCAAGTTCAGGCACGGTCAGCATGGCCATGGGTCCGGGTTCAGGTTCGGATTCAGGCCCTGACTTGGAGGCTGCTGCTGCAGGTTCGGAGGCCGCAGGTTCAGACACCGTTATGTTAGGTTCCGAGGCTGCAGGTTTGGAGGCCATTAGATCAGGCTCGGAATCAGCATCTAAAGAGGGAGATGGTTGGAGAAAGGGGGGGTACAGCAGTGTAAATCCAAACCCCTTGAATAAAGAGCAGGGAAGGGTGGTTTCGGGTAATGGTAGTGCGGACATGTGGATTGGGATTGATAAGACCGGGTGGGCAGTGGAGGGCCCGGTTGAGGTGTTTGGAGCGATGCAGAGGATGCAAGTTCCGATCGATGATTACACGATCTCTGTAAGCCATGGTGTGCTTGTGTCTGTAAGGGCAAGGCAGGTAGACACCATACCTGCCCTTCCATTCCATGCCACACCATACCATGTCATACCATGCTACGCCAATCGTTTTTACACATCTTCCCACCATTCATTGTCAATCATAAATGCATTAGTCACTCTACTCTCACTCCGGTCCACCCCTCCACACCCTTCCCCACACCTCCCCTCCCGCCCACCCCTCCTTTCCCCGCCAGCTGTATGCACCCTCACTAGAAGCACTGAGGGATGCTGACAAGGCATCTATCCTCCTCGATACAATCACATCTCACGGCTATCACAGCAGCCGATTCTTCCCCCTCTGGTACTCCCACATCGTGGGAGCGTGTGTGGGGCACGGGGGAGGGGAGACCTCTCAGATTTTGAGACCTCTCAGATTTTGAGACCTTTCAGATTTTGAGACCTCTCGGATTTTGAGACCTCTCAGATTTTGAGACCTCTCAGATTTTGAGACCTCTCAGATTTTGAGACCTCTCTCTCACCATTAGTGCATTCACGCCCCTCCACCCTTCCCCACACCTCCCCAAACCTCCCCCTTCCTCCCAACCCCTCTTCCCCTCGCCCCTCCCCCAGCTGTACGCACCCTCACTAGAAGCACTGCGGGATGCTGACGAGGCATCTTCCCTCCTCGATATAATCACATCGCACAGCTACCACAGCAGCCGATTCTTCCCCCTCTGGTGCTCCCACATCGTGGGGGCATGTGTGGGGCGCGGGGGAGAGGGGGAGGTGGGGAGGGAGGACGTGCGGAGAGGCATGGAGGTGTATGGAAGGATGAGGGAGATAGAGAGGGAGGAGGATGGAGCGTTGGAGAAAGTGATTTGGACTCTGCTGCGAGCTTGCGAGGTAAGGGGGACTGAAGTAGGGAGTAGGAGAAGAGGGAAATTGGGCGTTGGAGAATGTGATCTGGATGCCGCTGCAAGCATGTGAGGTAAGAGGGACTAGAGGTGGGTGCGAGAAACAAAGTATTGAGAAGGGGGAGGGTTTCGAAGAGGCATGGAGGTGTATGGGAGGATGAGGGAGATCGAGAGGGAGGAGGATGGGGCGTTGGAGAAAGTGATATGGACGCTGTTACGAGCCTGTGAGTTAAGCGGGGTTGAAAAGAATAGCTTTTGACAGACATAGCGAGTAGGATAGGAGGAGATTGGGGCAAGGGAGTGCTAAGGGGTGTGGGGAAGGACAGAGGGTTTAGCGGGAGGAGGAGTAGACGGTTTGAAGAGCTGGGTTGAGCTGAATGTGCAGAGCTTGCAGGATATTATCTGATCTGGGCAAATTATTATTATTTTCGTTGTGTGTGCATGTATCTGCGATTGTGTGTGGCGCTTTCTTGCAGGAGGTGGGACTGTGGCAAGAAGCAAAGCAACTGCTAGAGGACTACCGGTCCCTCAGGCAGGCCTTACAGGCCAATGCTTGTCGTTCCCACTCTCATTCCAAGTCCCCTCCTAGCCCTGTACTTGCTGCCGAGGAGACTTCTAAAACAGATGAGACGCAGATAAAGGAAGACACTCGCATGACAGCAGATTTGCCCGTGGCAGCAGCAGCAGCTGTAGGAGCAGCAGCAGAAACCGCAGAAGGAACTGCAGCAGCAGAAGCAGCAGCGGCTGCAGCTGCCGCAGCAGCAGCAGCAGAAATAGCAGCAGCAGAGGCGCCCATAGAGGCATACCACATGGCCATGGCTGCCTGTGATGCTGCTGGTGAGCCGTTAGAAGCCCTGCAAGTGTATCGGGATATGCTGGCACGGGGTCTTGTACCCTCTATGAGCACATTCGCTGTTATCATGCGCGCTCTGCAGAGGGGAGGGCTGTGGGTGAAGGCGATGGAAAATTTACAGACAATACCGAAGGGTATGGAGGGATGATGGATGGTTGGGAGGGGTGAGGATATTGATTTTTACAATGAATGATTTAACGTGGATCACATCGTTTTTGGACCTACATACCAAAATTCCCTTATCCAACACGCATTACACTGATGTTATTGAGAAGATACGATGTTTCAAATCGACACTAACGGTTGGGTCATTGAAGTTGTGTCGTTCAAACAATTTAGACACCTTGTCGGCAGATGGAAAGGCACAAAGAACTGGATGATGAATAGAAAGACGCTGTATATGCTAGCCATTTCCCAGGCAATCATTCTTGCATTGCATATTTATTAGCATGCTATCTCTTTTATTGCATATCATGTGGTGACACCAAACTTGGGAGTCATTCAACAATTTCAAGGAAACATACACAAAACCGGAGCCAGCAGTACGGCGAACACTGGAGATCCCGAGAAATTCCATGGCTATTTCACAACTCACCTTGCTAACTCATACGTAGACAGACTAAATCACCTTCCAGCGCGGCTCGAGCCTAGGTGAAGGCGCAGCCATATGTCACTATCCCGTATGTCTACCGGTACCCCCCACGCCCAGCCTTGATCCACGCGCTGCTGCTACTGTTTCTACCATTTCACGCGATGTTCGGGTGTTCATTCCCCGTGACGCACCGCTGACGTGGAACCTCGATGACGTGGCAGAGAGCGGTTTGTCAGACGGTGCGATGCCGCTGGTAGGTGAACTGCCCTTGACGGAAAAGCCTAGCCGAAATCTTTTGACGCAGAAAACCTGACGAAAAAACATGACCATCCGATTTGACGGTTTTATTGAAACTTGACAGTGCATTGATCTTCTGTGCTTCCAATGCTGCCATTGTTGCCAGTGCTGCCGGCCAGCTTTTACATATGTGTGCTTTCTGTTGTACGTTAATGTGTGTTCATCCATGCATGCATGAATGCGTATCCATCTATGCACATGCATGAATGCACATCTCCCAGGTGAGCATCTTCATGCCGACCCACAATGCATTGCCGTTGCTGCTGTGTGTGCTTGCTATCGTATGTAAATGTGCTTCCCTGCATGCATGCATGCACTCTACACATGTATGAATATTCATGTATGACTGAACATGTATGACTGAACATGCATAAATGCACGTCTCCCAGGTGAGCATCATCATGCCGATCCACAATGCAGCGCCATTCCTGCAAGAAGCAATCGACTCCATTCTAGCACAGGTGTGCATTCCATGGTGCCATGGTGCCATCATGCGTGTCGTAGGCGTATCACTGACTCCTGCCAAGCCAACCATCATGCCATCACGCCATCGTGCCGTCGTCCGTGTGGTAACCCGCGTGCATGCAGACTTAAAAAGGGCCCATGGAGCTTCAAGGATTTGACGATGGGCCCAGCACTTTTAATTCTATCAAATGTTTTTTTGCAACATCCCCTCACTGAGTATGGTGGTAACGCGTGTGCGTGCAGACTTACCAAGGTCCCATGGAGCTTCTAGTCTTCGACGACGGCCCGAGCATCGACCAATCACGAGCCATCCTCGAGGCGAATCGCTCCATTCTTGCCGCCCGAGGCATCGCCTTGAAGATCGTTGACGAGCGGACAGATGCTGCTGCCCGGCAGGAACGGACACATTGACAAGCAGACAAATACTGCCGCCCTGAAAGAGCAGACAGATACCACCCTTGACAGCTGGCAAGATAGCCAAAATGGCTTTGGGGACTGCAGAAACACTGACAACGTGCATCGTGGGAGCAATGATGAGCAGACAGATGGCCCCCGTGACAGCTGGCAGGATGGCCAAAGAATCCTGGGGGACTGCAGAGACACTGACAATGTGCATCGTGGGAGTAATGTTGCTAATACTGAGGAGTGTGGTTTGTTGAGAGGACTCAATGGAGGAAGCTACGCAGAAGGATCCAGTGAGAGGAAGCAAGAGGGGAGTCGGCCAAGGGGTTGTGGGTTCGGGCGCAACCGAGCCATAGAGCACAGCCGGGGCGAATACTTGTGCTTCGCTGATGGGGTGAGAGGCTTAGGTAGAGTGTTTGAGTGAGGAATGGGCATGGGGTATGAGGCATGAGGCATGGGGCATGGGGCGTGGGGCATGGGGCATGGGGCGTAATGCATGGGGCATGGGGCATGGGGCATGGGGCGTGGGGCATGGGGCATGGGGCGTGACCATTAGTAGTACATAGTAATACTCGTCCGTCCCCATCTCCCTGCCACGTCAAAATGCACATGAGATGCGCATGCACATGGAGAGGCACATTGTACACCATTATGTTTTTGGTTATCATGATCATGTATTTTGCATCACCGTTATGGACCCCTTTCTATGCCTTTTATCCTTCATACGCGTTATATCCTTTCAGGATGACATCATGGCTCCTGATCGCATCTCCCTACAGCTTGCTCTCGCCTCACGCAGCCGCAAGCTATTGGTAAGACAGGGCCTTGAACCTTAAACCCGAGACCTTTTTTTTTTTTTTTTTTTTTTTTTGGTGTGTGTGTGTGTGTGTGTGTGTGTGTGTGTGTGAGGAGACAGTTCTGTGTCACCTCAAAACTCGTTCTGGCCCTGAAAATACTCCGCAGGTGTGTTCTATTTCAGATAACCTTTGATGTTCGCTTGCCAGCTGACGCCACTGCAAGACTCACAGCATGGGCCAACTCCCTCTCGCACCCACAGCTGTACCTCCAGCAGTAGCAGCAGCAGCAGCAATAGCTGTACCACCAGCTGGAATAACACCCTCTCCCCTACCCCGCCTTTCCATTCCCCATCCAGGTGGGTTCTAACTTCGTTCGCCTGCCAGCTGATGCCACGCCGAGGCTCACAGCATGGGCCAACTCTCTCTCGCAAAAGCAGCTATACCTGCAGCAGCTGGTGGAAACCACCCTCATCGCCCCCACCTGGTTCTGCTCCCGACAGGTCTTTGATGCTTCAGGCACGTAGTAGTGTTTTCTTAGGCGCCTCAAAATCGCTAGTACAGCTTTTCCTCGTTTGCTTTTGGCCCCTGACATCTTTCTAGCTTTTTAAGGCGCCTTAAAAAACTCAGAAGACCTGTCCTGTCCTGCAGCTCTGTTCAGAGGTTCCTTCTGTTTTCATTCCCCCTGGCACGTTCTGCACTTGCACGGTCCACCAGGTCCCTTTGATGAGAGTGGCCCCGGCACACCAGACGATCTCATGTTCATCCACCAGCACTTGAGCAACGGGGGCTGGCTAGGCAAGGTGAGCGTGAGCACAGGTGCGTGGCGCTCCTGTTGCCTCTGTCCCGGCCCCTCTTGCCTCTGCATGGTCCACCAGGTCCCTTTGATGAGAGCGGGCCCGGCACACCCGATGACCTCATGCTCTTTCCCCAGCACCTGAGCAACGGGGGTTTCCTGGGCAAGGTCAGCGTGAGGGGGGTTTGCTTGAATTGTGACACCCCTAGGTACTATGAGTCCTGCATGGTTCTCCAGGTCCCTTCGGTGAGAGTGGCCAGGCACACCAGGCGGCCTCATGTTCTTCCACCAGCACTTGCGCAACGGGGGCTGGCTGGGCAAGGTGAGGACGGGGGGGCGAAGGGGGTAGGAGAAGGGGGGAAACGGCAGGGGAAGAAGGAACTGGTCCCACCAGATGGCTCTCATTAGAGTGGCCGGGCACACCAGGCGACCTCGTGTTCTTTCACCAGCGCTTGCGCAGCAAGGGCTGGCTGGGCATCACCATTCGTCTTGCATGCAAGGGTGAGATTGCTCTGGGTTCTCTCGCTGATTGCCCATCCACTAGCCATGTCACGAAACAGCAACCACACTCTATACTGTGCTAAAGGTACTGCTCTATACTGTGCTAAAGGTACTGCTCTATGCTGTGCTAAAGGTACTGCTCTATGCTGTGCTAAAGGTACTGCTCTATACTGTGCTAAAGGTACTGCTCTATGCTGTGCTAAAGGTACTGCTCTATACTGTGCTAAAGGTACTGCTCTATACTGTGCTAAAGGTACTGCTCTATACTGTGCTAAAGGTACTGCTCTATACTGTGCTAAAGGTACTGCTCTATACTGTGCTAAAGGTACTGCTCTATACTGTGCTAAAGGTACTGCTCTATACTGTGCTAAAGGTACTGCTCTATACTGTGCTAAAGGTACTGCTCTATACTGTGCTAAAGGTACTGCTCTATACTGTGCTAAAGGTACTGCTCTATACTGTGCTAAAGGTACTGCTCTATACTGTGCTAAAGGTACTGCTCTATACTGTGCTAAAGGTACTGCTCTATACTGTGCTAAAGGTACTGCTCTATACTGTGCTAAAGGTACTGCTCTATACTGTGCTAAAGGTACTGCTCTATACTGTGCTAAAGGTACTGCTCTATACTGTGCTAAAGGTACTGCTCTATACTGTGCTAAAGGTACTGCTCTATACTGTGCTAAAGGTACTGCTCTATACTGTGCTAAAGGTACTGCTCTATACTGTGCTAAAGGTACTGCTTCTATACTGTGCTAAAGGTACTGCTCTATACTGTGCTAAAGGTACTGCTCTATACTGTGCTAAAGGTACTGCTCTATACTGTGCTAAAGGTACTGCTCTATACTGTGCTAAAGGTACTGCTCTATACTGTGCTAAAGGTACTGCTCTATACTGTGCTAAAGGTACTGCTCTATACTGTGCTAAAGGTACTGCTCTATACTGTGCTAAAGGTACTGCTCTATACTGTGCTAAAGGTACTGCTCTATACTGTGCTAAAGGTACTGCTCTATACTGTGCTAAAGGTACTGCTCTATACTGTGCTAAAGGTACTGCTCTATACTGTGCTAAAGGTACTGCTCTATACTGTGCTAAAGGTACTGCTCTATACTGTGCTAAAGGTACTGCTCTATACTGTGCTAAAGGTACTGCTCTATACTGTGCTAAAGGTACTGCTCTATACTGTGCTAAAGGTACTGCTCTATACTGTGCTAAAGGTACTGCTCTATACTGTGCTAAAGGTACTGCTCTATACTGTGCTAAAGGTACTGCTCTATACTGTGCTAAAGGTACTGCTCTATACTGTGCTAAAGGTACTGCTCTATACTGTGCTAAAGGTACTGCTCTATACTGTGCTAAAGGTACTGCTCTATACTGTGCTAAAGGTACTGCTCTATACTGTGCTAAAGGTACTGCTCTATACTGTGCTAAAGGTACTGCTCTATACTGTGCTAAAGGTACTGCTCTATACTGTGCTAAAGGTACTGCTCTATACTGTGCTAAAGGTACTGCTCTATACTGTGCTAAAGGTACTGCTCTATACTGTGCTAAAGGTACTGCTCTATACTGTGCTAAAGGTACTGCTCTATACTGTGCTAAAGGTACTGCTCTATACTGTGCTAAAGGTACTGCTCTATACTGTGCTAAAGGTACTGCTCTATACTGTGCTAAAGGTACTGCTCTATACTGTGCTAAAGGTACTGCTCTATACTGTGCTAAAGGTACTGCTCTATACTGTGCTAAAGGTACTGCTCTATACTGTGCTAAAGGTACTGCTCTATACTGTGCTAAAGGTACTGCTCTATACTGTGCTAAAGGTACTGCTCTATACTGTGCTAAAGGTACTGCTCTATACTGTGCTAAAGGTACTGCTCTATACTGTGCTAAAGGTACTGCTCTATACTGTGCTAAAGGTACTGCTCTATACTGTGCTAAAGGTACTGCTCTATACTGTGCTAAAGGTACTGCTCTATACTGTGCTAAAGGTACTGCTCTATACTGTGCTAAAGGTACTGCTCTATACTGTGCTAAAGGTACTGCTCTATACTGTGCTAAAGGTACTGCTCTATACTGTGCTAAAGGTACTGCTCTATACTGTGCTAAAGGTACTGCTCTATACTGTGCTAAAGGTACTGCTCTATACTGTGCTAAAGGTACTGCTCTATACTGTGCTAAAGGTACTGCTCTATACTGTGCTAAAGGTACTGCTCTATACTGTGCTAAAGGTACTGCTCTATACTGTGCTAAAGGTACTGCTCTATACTGTGCTAAAGGTACTGCTCTATACTGTGCTAAAGGTACTGCTCTATACTGTGCTAAAGGTACTGCTCTATACTGTGCTAAAGGTACTGCTCTATACTGTGCTAAAGGTACTGCTCTATACTGTGCTAAAGGTACTGCTCTATACTGTGCTAAAGGTACTGCTCTATACTGTGCTAAAGGTACTGCTCTATACTGTGCTAAAGGTACTGCTCTATACTGTGCTAAAGGTACTGCTCTATACTGTGCTAAAGGTACTGCTCTATACTGTGCTAAAGGTACTGCTCTATACTGTGCTAAAGGTACTGCTCTATACTGTGCTAAAGGTACTGCTCTATACTGTGCTAAAGGTACTGCTCTATACTGTGCTAAAGGTACTGCTCTATACTGTGCTAAAGGTACTGCTCTATACTGTGCTAAAGGTACTGCTCTATACTGTGCTAAAGGTACTGCTCTATACTGTGCTAAAGGTACTGCTCTATACTGTGCTAAAGGTACTGCTCTATACTGTGCTAAAGGTACTGCTCTATACTGTGCTAAAGGTACTGCTCTATACTGTGCTAAAGGTACTGCTCTATACTGTGCTAAAGGTACTGCTCTATACTGTGCTAAAGGTACTGCTCTATACTGTGCTAAAGGTACTGCTCTATACTGTGCTAAAGGTACTGCTCTATACTGTGCTAAAGGTACTGCTCTATACTGTGCTAAAGGTACTGCTCTATACTGTGCTAAAGGTACTGCTCTATACTGTGCTAAAGGTACTGCTCTATACTGTGCTAAAGGTACTGCTCTATACTGTGCTAAAGGTACTGCTCTATACTGTGCTAAAGGTACTGCTCTATACTGTGCTAAAGGTACTGCTCTATACTGTGCTAAAGGTACTGCTCTATACTGTGCTAAAGGTACTGCTCTATACTGTGCTAAAGGTACTGCTCTATACTGTGCTAAAGGTACTGCTCTATACTGTGCTAAAGGTACTGCTCTATACTGTGCTAAAGGTACTGCTCTATACTGTGCTAAAGGTACTGCTCTATACTGTGCTAAAGGTACTGCTCTATACTGTGCTAAAGGTACTGCTCTATACTGTGCTAAAGGTACTGCTCTATACTGTGCTAAAGGTACTGCTCTATACTGTGCTAAAGGTACTGCTCTATACTGTGCTAAAGGTACTGCTCTATACTGTGCTAAAGGTACTGCTCTATACTGTGCTAAAGGTACTGCTCTATACTGTGCTAAAGGTACTGCTCTATACTGTGCTAAAGGTACTGCTCTATACTGTGCTAAAGGTACTGCTCTATACTGTGCTAAAGGTACTGCTCTATACTGTGCTAAAGGTACTGCTCTATACTGTGCTAAAGGTACTGCTCTATACTGTGCTAAAGGTACTGCTCTATACTGTGCTAAAGGTACTGCTCTATACTGTGCTAAAGGTACTGCTCTATACTGTGCTAAAGGTACTGCTCTATACTGTGCTAAAGGTACTGCTCTATACTGTGCTAAAGGTACTGCTCTATACTGTGCTAAAGGTACTGCTCTATACTGTGCTAAAGGTACTGCTCTATACTGTGCTAAAGGTACTGCTCTATACTGTGCTAAAGGTACTGCTCTATACTGTGCTAAAGGTACTGCTCTATACTGTGCTAAAGGTACTGCTCTATACTGTGCTAAAGGTACTGCTCTATACTGTGCTAAAGGTACTGCTCTATACTGTGCTAAAGGTACTGCTCTATACTGTGCTAAAGGTACTGCTCTATACTGTGCTAAAGGTACTGCTCTATACTGTGCTAAAGGTACTGCTCTATACTGTGCTAAAGGTACTGCTCTATACTGTGCTAAAGGTACTGCTCTATACTGTGCTAAAGGTACTGCTCTATACTGTGCTAAAGGTACTGCTCTATACTGTGCTAAAGGTACTGCTCTATACTGTGCTAAAGGTACTGCTCTATACTGTGCTAAAGGTACTGCTCTATACTGTGCTAAAGGTACTGCTCTATACTGTGCTAAAGGTACTGCTCTATACTGTGCTAAAGGTACTGCTCTATACTGTGCTAAAGGTACTGCTCTATACTGTGCTAAAGGTACTGCTCTATACTGTGCTAAAGGTACTGCTCTATACTGTGCTAAAGGTACTGCTCTATACTGTGCTAAAGGTACTGCTCTATACTGTGCTAAAGGTACTGCTCTATACTGTGCTAAAGGTACTGCTCTATACTGTGCTAAAGGTACTGCTCTATACTGTGCTAAAGGTACTGCTCTATACTGTGCTAAAGGTACTGCTCTATACTGTGCTAAAGGTACTGCTCTATACTGTGCTAAAGGTACTGCTCTATACTGTGCTAAAGGTACTGCTCTATACTGTGCTAAAGGTACTGCTCTATACTGTGCTAAAGGTACTGCTCTATACTGTGCTAAAGGTACTGCTCTATACTGTGCTAAAGGTACTGCTCTATACTGTGCTAAAGGTACTGCTCTATACTGTGCTAAAGGTACTGCTCTATACTGTGCTAAAGGTACTGCTCTATACTGTGCTAAAGGTACTGCTCTATACTGTGCTAAAGGTACTGCTCTATACTGTGCTAAAGGTACTGCTCTATACTGTGCTAAAGGTACTGCTCTATACTGTGCTAAAGGTACTGCTCTATACTGTGCTAAAGGTACTGCTCTATACTGTGCTAAAGGTACTGCTCTATACTGTGCTAAAGGTACTGCTCTATACTGTGCTAAAGGTACTGCTCTATACTGTGCTAAAGGTACTGCTCTATACTGTGCTAAAGGTACTGCTCTATACTGTGCTAAAGGTACTGCTCTATACTGTGCTAAAGGTACTGCTCTATACTGTGCTAAGGTACTGCTCTATACTGTGCTAAAGGTACTGCTCTATACTGTGCTAAAGGTACTGCTCTATACTGTGCTAAAGGTACTGCTCTATACTGTGCTAAAGGTACTGCTCTATACTGTGCTAAAGGTACTGCTCTATACTGTGCTAAAGGTACTGCTCTATACTGTGCTAAAGGTACTGCTCTATACTGTGCTAAAGGTACTGCTCTATACTGTGCTAAAGGTACTGCTCTATACTGTGCTAAAGGTACTGCTCTATACTGTGCTAAAGGTACTGCTCTATACTGTGCTAAAGGTACTGCTCTATACTGTGCTAAAGGTACTGCTCTATACTGTGCTAAAGGTACTGCTCTATACTGTGCTAAAGGTACTGCTCTATACTGTGCTAAAGGTACTGCTCTATACTGTGCTAAAGGTACTGCTCTATACTGTGCTAAAGGTACTGCTCTATACTGTGCTAAAGGTACTGCTCTATACTGTGCTAAAGGTACTGCTCTATACTGTGCTAAAGGTACTGCTCTATACTGTGCTAAAGGTACTGCTCTATACTGTGCTAAAGGTACTGCTCTATACTGTGCTAAAGGTACTGCTCTATACTGTGCTAAAGGTACTGCTCTATACTGTGCTAAAGGTACTGCTCTATACTGTGCTAAAGGTACTGCTCTATACTGTGCTAAAGGTACTGCTCTATACTGTGCTAAAGGTACTGCTCTATACTGTGCTAAAGGTACTGCTCTATACTGTGCTAAAGGTACTGCTCTATACTGTGCTAAAGGTACTGCTCTATACTGTGCTAAAGGTACTGCTCTATACTGTGCTAAAGGTACTGCTCTATACTGTGCTAAAGGTACTGCTCTATACTGTGCTAAAGGTACTGCTCTATACTGTGCTAAAGGTACTGCTCTATACTGTGCTAAAGGTACTGCTCTATACTGTGCTAAAGGTACTGCTCTATACTGTGCTAAAGGTACTGCTCTATACTGTGCTAAAGGTACTGCTCTATACTGTGCTAAAGGTACTGCTCTATACTGTGCTAAAGGTACTGCTCTATACTGTGCTAAAGGTACTGCTCTATACTGTGCTAAAGGTACTGCTCTATACTGTGCTAAAGGTACTGCTCTATACTGTGCTAAAGGTACTGCTCTATACTGTGCTAAAGGTACTGCTCTATACTGTGCTAAAGGTACTGCTCTATACTGTGCTAAAGGTACTGCTCTATACTGTGCTAAAGGTACTGCTCTATACTGTGCTAAAGGTACTGCTCTATACTGTGCTAAAGGTACTGCTCTATACTGTGCTAAAGGTACTGCTCTATACTGTGCTAAAGGTACTGCTCTATACTGTGCTAAAGGTACTGCTCTATACTGTGCTAAAGGTACTGCTCTATACTGTGCTAAAGGTACTGCTCTATACTGTGCTAAAGGTACTGCTCTATACTGTGCTAAAGGTACTGCTCTATACTGTGCTAAAGGTACTGCTCTATACTGTGCTAAAGGTACTGCTCTATACTGTGCTAAAGGTACTGCTCTATACTGTGCTAAAGGTACTGCTCTATACTGTGCTAAAGGTACTGCTCTATACTGTGCTAAAGGTACTGCTCTATACTGTGCTAAAGGTACTGCTCTATACTGTGCTAAAGGTACTGCTCTATACTGTGCTAAAGGTACTGCTCTATACTGTGCTAAAGGTACTGCTCTATACTGTGCTAAAGGTACTGCTCTATACTGTGCTAAAGGTACTGCTCTATACTGTGCTAAAGGTACTGCTCTATACTGTGCTAAAGGTACTGCTCTATACTGTGCTAAAGGTACTGCTCTATACTGTGCTAAAGGTACTGCTCTATACTGTGCTAAAGGTACTGCTCTATACTGTGCTAAAGGTACTGCTCTATACTGTGCTAAAGGTACTGCTCTATACTGTGCTAAAGGTACTGCTCTATACTGTGCTAAAGGTACTGCTCTATACTGTGCTAAAGGTACTGCTCTATACTGTGCTAAAGGTACTGCTCTATACTGTGCTAAAGGTACTGCTCTATACTGTGCTAAAGGTACTGCTCTATACTGTGCTAAAGGTACTGCTCTATACTGTGCTAAAGGTACTGCTCTATACTGTGCTAAAGGTACTGCTCTATACTGTGCTAAAGGTACTGCTCTATACTGTGCTAAAGGTACTGCTCTATACTGTGCTAAAGGTACTGCTCTATACTGTGCTAAAGGTACTGCTCTATACTGTGCTAAAGGTACTGCTCTATACTGTGCTAAAGGTACTGCTCTATACTGTGCTAAAGGTACTGCTCTATACTGTGCTAAAGGTACTGCTCTATACTGTGCTAAAGGTACTGCTCTATACTGTGCTAAAGGTACTGCTCTATACTGTGCTAAAGGTACTGCTCTATACTGTGCTAAAGGTACTGCTCTATACTGTGCTAAAGGTACTGCTCTATACTGTGCTAAAGGTACTGCTCTATACTGTGCTAAAGGTACTGCTCTATACTGTGCTAAAGGTACTGCTCTATACTGTGCTAAAGGTACTGCTCTATACTGTGCTAAAGGTACTGCTCTATACTGTGCTAAAGGTACTGCTCTATACTGTGCTAAAGGTACTGCTCTATACTGTGCTAAAGGTACTGCTCTATACTGTGCTAAAGGTACTGCTCTATACTGTGCTAAAGGTACTGCTCTATACTGTGCTAAAGGTACTGCTCTATACTGTGCTAAAGGTACTGCTCTATACTGTGCTAAAGGTACTGCTCTATACTGTGCTAAAGGTACTGCTCTATACTGTGCTAAAGGTACTGCTCTATACTGTGCTAAAGGTACTGCTCTATACTGTGCTAAAGGTACTGCTCTATACTGTGCTAAAGGTACTGCTCTATACTGTGCTAAAGGTACTGCTCTATACTGTGCTAAAGGTACTGCTCTATACTGTGCTAAAGGTACTGCTCTATACTGTGCTAAAGGTACTGCTCTATACTGTGCTAAAGGTACTGCTCTATACTGTGCTAAAGGTACTGCTCTATACTGTGCTAAAGGTACTGCTCTATACTGTGCTAAAGGTACTGCTCTATACTGTGCTAAAGGTACTGCTCTATACTGTGCTAAAGGTACTGCTCTATACTGTGCTAAAGGTACTGCTCTATACTGTGCTAAAGGTACTGCTCTATACTGTGCTAAAGGTACTGCTCTATACTGTGCTAAAGGTACTGCTCTATACTGTGCTAAAGGTACTGCTCTATACTGTGCTAAAGGTACTGCTCTATACTGTGCTAAAGGTACTGCTCTATACTGTGCTAAAGGTACTGCTCTATACTGTGCTAAAGGTACTGCTCTATACTGTGCTAAAGGTACTGCTCTATACTGTGCTAAAGGTACTGCTCTATACTGTGCTAAAGGTACTGCTCTATACTGTGCTAAAGGTACTGCTCTATACTGTGCTAAAGGTACTGCTCTATACTGTGCTAAAGGTACTGCTCTATACTGTGCTAAAGGTACTGCTCTATACTGTGCTAAAGGTACTGCTCTATACTGTGCTAAAGGTACTGCTCTATACTGTGCTAAAGGTACTGCTCTATACTGTGCTAAAGGTACTGCTCTATACTGTGCTAAAGGTACTGCTCTATACTGTGCTAAAGGTACTGCTCTATACTGTGCTAAAGGTACTGCTCTATACTGTGCTAAAGGTACTGCTCTATACTGTGCTAAAGGTACTGCTCTATACTGTGCTAAAGGTACTGCTCTATACTGTGCTAAGGTACTGCTCTATACTGTGCTAAAGGTACTGCTCTATACTGTGCTAAAGGTACTGCTCTATACTGTGCTAAAGGTACTGCTCTATACTGTGCTAAAGGTACTGCTCTATACTGTGCTAAAGGTACTGCTCTATACTGTGCTAAAGGTACTGCTCTATACTGTGCTAAAGGTACTGCTCTATACTGTGCTAAAGGTACTGCTCTATACTGTGCTAAAGGTACTGCTCTATACTGTGCTAAAGGTACTGCTCTATACTGTGCTAAAGGTACTGCTCTATACTGTGCTAAAGGTACTGCTCTATACTGTGCTAAAGGTACTGCTCTATACTGTGCTAAAGGTACTGCTCTATACTGTGCTAAAGGTACTGCTCTATACTGTGCTAAAGGTACTGCTCTATACTGTGCTAAAGGTACTGCTCTATACTGTGCTAAAGGTACTGCTCTATACTGTGCTAAAGGTACTGCTCTATACTGTGCTAAAGGTACTGCTCTATACTGTGCTAAAGGTACTGCTCTATACTGTGCTAAAGGTACTGCTCTATACTGTGCTAAAGGTACTGCTCTATACTGTGCTAAAGGTACTGCTCTATACTGTGCTAAAGGTACTGCTCTATACTGTGCTAAAGGTACTGCTCTATACTGTGCTAAAGGTACTGCTCTATACTGTGCTAAAGGTACTGCTCTATACTGTGCTAAAGGTACTGCTCTATACTGTGCTAAAGGTACTGCTCTATACTGTGCTAAAGGTACTGCTCTATACTGTGCTAAAGGTACTGCTCTATACTGTGCTAAAGGTACTGCTCTATACTGTGCTAAAGGTACTGCTCTATACTGTGCTAAAGGTACTGCTCTATACTGTGCTAAAGGTACTGCTCTATACTGTGCTAAAGGTACTGCTCTATACTGTGCTAAAGGTACTGCTCTATACTGTGCTAAAGGTACTGCTCTATACTGTGCTAAAGGTACTGCTCTATACTGTGCTAAAGGTACTGCTCTATACTGTGCTAAAGGTACTGCTCTATACTGTGCTAAAGGTACTGCTCTATACTGTGCTAAAGGTACTGCTCTATACTGTGCTAAAGGTACTGCTCTATACTGTGCTAAAGGTACTGCTCTATACTGTGCTAAAGGTACTGCTCTATACTGTGCTAAAGGTACTGCTCTATACTGTGCTAAAGGTACTGCTCTATACTGTGCTAAAGGTACTGCTCTATACTGTGCTAAAGGTACTGCTCTATACTGTGCTAAAGGTACTGCTCTATACTGTGCTAAAGGTACTGCTCTATACTGTGCTAAAGGTACTGCTCTATACTGTGCTAAAGGTACTGCTCTATACTGTGCTAAAGGTACTGCTCTATACTGTGCTAAAGGTACTGCTCTATACTGTGCTAAAGGTACTGCTCTATACTGTGCTAAAGGTACTGCTCTATACTGTGCTAAAGGTACTGCTCTATACTGTGCTAAAGGTACTGCTCTATACTGTGCTAAAGGTACTGCTCTATACTGTGCTAAAGGTACTGCTCTATACTGTGCTAAAGGTACTGCTCTATACTGTGCTAAAGGTACTGCTCTATACTGTGCTAAAGGTACTGCTCTATACTGTGCTAAAGGTACTGCTCTATACTGTGCTAAAGGTACTGCTCTATACTGTGCTAAAGGTACTGCTCTATACTGTGCTAAAGGTACTGCTCTATACTGTGCTAAAGGTACTGCTCTATACTGTGCTAAAGGTACTGCTCTATACTGTGCTAAAGGTACTGCTCTATACTGTGCTAAAGGTACTGCTCTATACTGTGCTAAAGGTACTGCTCTATACTGTGCTAAAGGTACTGCTCTATACTGTGTTGCCTCTCCTGTCCTGTGTTGTGTCACGTCCCCTTGCAGGTGCCTCAGTCTCTAGTCACATATCGCTTCCACACGGCATCCGTGACAGGCTCACGAGGCTGCCCCTGTGAGAGCATCTGAGAGCATTGTTTGAAGTATATAGCCCGGTGTTGTGTTGCTTACACTACCTTGTGTTGCTTCTCACCTGCAGGTGCCCCACCCTCTAGTCACGTATCGCTTCCACACGGCATCCGTGACGGGCTCACGAGGCTGCCCCTGGGAGAGTATCTGGGAGCAGCGGGTTAAACACCTTGAAGCACAGATTCTTTCGGGGTACGACTCTTTGCGCCCCTCTGCAGTTTTGAAAACTCACAAAACTTGACGGAGTATGATGAGTGTCATCAAATGGTTCCTGCAGCATCATCCTTTGTGCAATAAAACGAATATGCGTGTAACATACTGATCAGCTGTTCCAGCCGACTTCATATAGCTCAATCTTTTTTATCTTTCAAGTTCAGCTCAACGCTCTTCTCCTCGTGCCAACCCCGCTTTTTTCTGTTTTATTTGCAGGCCTAGCAGCTCTAGCTGGAAAGAATTCACAATCTGGAATGCTGGCAAAGAGGGCAGGAGACTCTACCGCTCGCTCTCCCCATCAAACCAAGCCAAGGTACTGCATAACACGTTATAAGTGGACTCAGAAGTCACACATCACAGCAAAATCCTGCATTTTCCTCTCTTGTAAGGCACTACATATGAGTTCTGAGGGTGGTTGCTTGGTGTCTTCACATGCTGCAGGTGATTGCATTTTGTGATGTGGATGCGAAGAAGATAACTAGAGGAGTGTACACACACCATGAGTCAGGAAGAGCAGTACCAGTTATCCATTGGTCTACAGCCAGGCCGCCACTGCTGCTGTGTGTGAAAAGAGGGCTTACTGGTGGTGCGTTTGAGGAGATAATCGAATCCCTGAAAATGGAAGAAGGATTGGATTTTGTTTATTTCTCATAATGCCATGTCAGCATGCGTGCAGCCCATACGGTTGCACCTCCTTTTCCCATGCTGCAGGTGATTGCCTTACGTGGTTTGGACACTAAGGAGGTAGCAGAGTGTCAGAATCCCAACCACTAGACCATTGTGATAGAAGGGTTTGTTAAGTAGCAGGTCAGTGCGCCCATAACCCCCCAGGACAACGAGTCTGTAACCCTTCCCTAGGATCAATCGGGGATCATCGGTGGACCTCTGACACCCCCTCGCACTGGGATGCTCGAAGTGCACACAGTGGGATTCGGACCCGAGACATTAAATCTAATAGCATGTCAGAATCCCAACCACTAGGTCATTGGGATAAAAGGACTTGTTAATTAGCGGGTCAGTGCGCCCATAACCCCCCAGGACAACGAGCCGGTAACCCTTCCCTAGGATCAATCGGGGATCAACAGTGGATCTCTGACACAGAGGAGTGTACAGTGTACACAACACACACCATGAGTCGGGTAGAGCATTACCGGTAATCCATTGGTCTGCAGCCAAACCACCACTAGTGCTGTGTGTGAAAAGAGGGCTTACTGGGGGTGCGCTTGAGGCGATAATCGAATCTCTGAACATGGAAGAAGGGTTGGATTATGTCTATTTCTCATAATGACATGTCACCATGCATACGACCTGTTCTCACAGTCTCTGAACATGGAAAAAGGGTTGGATTGAGTGCAAATGATCCCGGTGGATAAAAAGATAACAAGAGGAACGTAGAGACACTGTCATAATCGTAGGCTAAAGTGATGTCGACTATCGAGGGGGTTGGTACAAAGAAAAATGAACCTAAGGGGTTGTACCCCACAGTGTGTACCCCACTAAGCCTACCCAAACTATAACATAGATATACATATGTTTGACACACCCCCATAGGCAGAGTGGGGGAGAACAGAGGGTCACAAGACCAGTCAGGAAGTGCAAAGCAAGCTCAGGGTGGATCACAACGTCACCACGCAGTCTGAGCACAAGCAAGAAGGCCACAAGGGCAGTTCATGAGAAACTTAGAACGAGAATGGATTGACTAAGGAATGAAAGTGATACAAATGTGAAACCCTAGAATTGTGTACCCCTTAGTATCTAACCCGCTACAGCCTACACAGGCTAGATCATATAAGTTTGACACACCTCCATAGGCAAAGTGGGGGAGAACAAGGGGTCACAAGACCAGTCAAGCAAAGCAAGGCAAAGCAAGCTCAGGGTGGATCACAACGTCACCACACATTCTGAGCACAAGTTCAAGGCCACAAGGCCAGTTCACATGCATGAGTACACACATATATATAACGCTAAACAAGCAAGAGCAGGTATATACATATGTAACAGTACAAGCAAGGTCAAGAAGTGAGCAAGTGAGGCAAGGTAGGTACAAGACCTAACAGAGTACAGAAGCGCTGATGGTCACAAGGCGCAAGTGCCTTGGTGAAGATATCAGCAGTGTTGGCCTCAGAGGCCACGTAAGCAAGGCGCAGCTGACCTCGCTGCTGCAGCTCACGAGCAAGGAAGTAGCGAAGAGCGATGTGTTTCGTTCTGTGCTCCAGTCTGTGCTCCCGACACAAGGCCAGCATAGCCTTGTTGTCTACGTACAGAACTGGAGGAGAACGAGGCGGCTCTCCTAGGTCAGTCAGCAGGTAGGTGAGCCAGCGTAGCTCCTGTGCAGCCATGGCCCCTGCGTAGATCTCAGCCTCACAACTGGAGCCGAGAACAGAAGACGAGCGGGTAGACCGCCACGAAACAGAGCCGGAACCAAGGATGAAGGTGTAACCCTGTGACGACCGCTGCGTAGCCTGGTCGTCAGCCCAAGAAGCGTCTGCGTGACCAGTGAGGACCACTGGACTCCGCCCTCCAAGCACAAGCCCCATGCCCGACGTACTGCACAAGTAGCGCAACACCCTCTTCGCTGCAGCCATGTGCTCTGGTCTGTGTCTCCCAGGAGCAACATAGCGTGCCAGAATGCTAAGAGGGTATGCAAGGTCAGGTCGAGTGCAGGTCATCAGGTACATGAGGCAGCCAACAAGCTCTGGGTACGGGCCACTCGACTCTACGGACTCATCCGAAGGCAGAGCTGAGAGCGAGTGGCGAGTAGACAAAGGAGTGGCCTGAGGCGAGGAGTACGTGAAGCCGAAGCGCTGAAGGACCTGCTGCACCATGTGTGACTGAGTCACGGTAATGGTGCGCTGTGCTCTGTCCCGGGTGATATGCAAGCCAAGGTAGCTGCGCAGCTCACCCCGGTCTGTGCACGTGTGTCTCTTCTGCAGCTCGGACTTCACGTGGGCGAGTCCAGCAGTTTCAGCTGTGGCAAAGACCAAGTCGTCGACGTACACGAGGATGTAGAACGGCGGCAAAGAAGTGTCGGTGCGCAGAAACAGCGACGGGTCGGCAGTAGAAGGAGCAAACCCAAGAGCCGCAAGTGTAGTCCTCAGTGTGTCGTGCCACTCACGAGGTGCCTGGCGGAGACCGTAGACTGGCCGCCGGAGGCTCCACTGGGTACCAGGAGGAAAAGACCCAGTGAAGCCAGGTGGGCGGCGCAACCAGATCTCCTCGTGCAGGCTGCCCTACAAGAAAGCAGTGCTGAAGTCAAGAGAGTGAAGCTCGTAGTCACGGTGAGCGGCTATGTGCAGCAGTACCCGAAGAGTGGTCATCTTCGGGGTGGGAGAGAAGGTCTGGAAGAAGTCAACTCCCTGCCGCTGACTGAAGCCACGAGCCACGTAGCGCGCCTTGAAGACAGGCGGAGAACCCGGCGGCCGCTTCACCCTGAAAATCCACATGCCACTGACGATGTTCGCCCCAGGAGGGGGAACCTCGTCGACGTAGGTGCCTGTGGACTTCCAGGAAGCCATCTCTGCATCCATGGCTGCCTGCCACTGAGAGGAGTAGGGACCCTCTATCGCCTCCGCGTAAGAGCGCGGAGTCGGGATGTCTGGTGCATCCGGGTCTCCCTCAGGGGCAAGCAGCATGGACACGAGATGAGGTGAAGCAGCAGCAAAGCACTGGAACTCCTCCTGCCTGTCCTCAAGGACGTCCGTGCCAAGGGCACACTCACCCCCGACGGACGGAGGACAGACAGACTCAGACTCAGCGACAAGACTAGCAGCGTAGTCTAGGCGACAGCGAGCAGCGAAGTCGACAAGCTCAGAAACTAAGGCAGACGCAGCAGCGGACGCAAAGGAAGGGTCAGTGACGACAGTAGCAAGGAGACGCGTGATAGCAGGACTGGCAGCACGAAGGGAGTCCGACTCCGGGTCAGCAAGAACAGGAAGAGAGGACTCAGGAGGAGAAGGCAAAGGGGCACGCAGCGGAGCAGTGGAGGGACGCAGAGACATCCGGTGCGTGCCGGGGACAGGGGGAGGACGCTGACGCGAACCACGACTACTAGTGCGAGCAGCACGGACAGGCGACGCAGGACGAGACGCAGGCTCACGACGCTCAGCAAGACCTCCAGTAGGACCAGTGTAGGGAGAAGGAGCAGGCAGAGGAGAGGTAGGTTGTAACTGTGACTCGGACTGGACAGGCGGTGGACACTCTAAGGGAGGAGCCGGACTAGCAGAGGGCGGAAGACCAAGAACCTGCTCAAGGAGCGGAACGAAGTACGGCCGCGGTCGCTCAGCACCACCAGCACCAGAAGGGACAGCACCAGCACCCCGAACGACAGCACCAGCGCCAGCAGCACCCCCAGCTCCAGCAGCGCCAACTCCAGTACCCTCAGAGGCACCAGCACCAGAGGCACCCTCAGCGCCAACACCCCCAGCAGCTCCAGCTCCAGCCGGACCACCAGAAGACGCAGCGGGTCCAGCTCCAGCACCCTCAGTAGCACCGACGCCCGCAGCACCACCAGCTCCAGTACGAGAAGCACCCGCAGGCCCAGCAGCTCCAGTACTCCCAGTACTAGCACCTCCGGGACCCGCGGCACCAGCACCCTCAGCAGCAGCAGAACCTCCAGCACCCGCAGCACCTCCATCTCCAGCAGCTCGCCTCCAGCGCCGGGCAAACCACTCACGCAGCTCCTGTGGAGAGAGTAGCTCCCGCCGGGACGAAGCACCCGAAGAACCTCCAGGCCCAGCACCGCCAGACGCCACACGAGCAGGTCCAGTACCCTCAGACTCCGCACCCCCAGACGCAGCACCCCCAGGCTCAGCACCCCCAGACGCAGCACCCCCAGGCGTAGCACCCCCAGGCAAAGCACCCCCAGAGTCAGCACCCCCAGGCTCAGCACCCCCAGACCCAGCACCCGCAGGCTCAGCACCCCTAGCAGCACCAGAGTCAACAGCTACCTCGAC